CCCGCTCAGTAGCGACCCCCAGCTCTGCTGATCCCCCGTTCAGTAGCAACCCCCAGCTCTGCTGATCCCCCGCTGAGTAGCGACCCCCAGCTCTGCTGATCCCCGTTCAGTAGCAACCCCCAGCTCTGCTGATCCCCCGCTCAGTAGTGACCCCCAGCTCTGCTGATCCCCCGCTCAGTAGTGACCCCCAGCTCTGCTGATCCCCCGCTCAGTAGTGACCCCCAGCTCTGCTGTTCCCCCGCTCAGTAGTGACCCCCAGCACTGCTGATCCCCCGCTCAGTAGTAACCCCCAGCTCTGCTGACCTCTCGCTCAGTAGTAACCCCCAGCTCTGCTAATTCCCTGTTCAGTAGTAACCCCCAGCTCTGCTGACCCCTCATTCCGTAGTAACCCCCAGCTCTGCTGACCCCTCGTTCAGTAGTAACCCCCAGCTCTGCTGACCCCTCATTCAGTAGTACCCCCAGCTCTGCTGACCCCTTGTTCCGTTAGTAACCCCCAGCTCTGCTGACCCCTCATTCAGTAGTAACCCTCAGCTCTGCTGACCCCTATTTCAGTAGTAACCTTCAGCTCTGCTGACCCCTCATTCAGTAGTAACCCTCAGCTCTGCTGACCCCTCATTCAGTTCAGTAGTAACCTTCAGCTCTGCTGACCCCTCATTCAGTAGTAACCCTCAGCTCTGCTGACCCCTTGTTCAGTAGTAAACCCCAGTTCTGATGATCCCCCACTCAGAAGTAACCTCCAGCTCGGTTGATCCCCATTCGGTAGAACCCCCAGCTCTGCTGATCTCCCATTCAGTAGTACCCCCAGCTCTGCTGATCTATCATTCAGTAGTACCCCCAGCTCTGCTGATCTCTCATTCAGTAGTAACCCCCAGCTTTGCTGATCTCCCATTCAGTAGTAACCCCCAGCTCTGCTGATCCCCCATTCAGTAGTAACCCCCAGCTTTGCTGATCTCCCATTCAGTAGTAACCCCCAGCTTTGCTGATCTCCCATTCAGTAGTAACCCCCAGCTCTGCCGATCCTCTGGCTTGCTGATCATCTTCTCTCTCTGGTCCCCGCTCACCTCCCACTATATTGCGGTCATGTTGCTCGCCACCTGTGACATCTGCTAGTTTCTCCAGCTCTGCTGATCCTCTGCCACTGAGTCCTCCCTCTCCAGTCCCCGCTCACCTCCCGCTATACCGTTCCTGTGTTGCACACCATGTGTGCTGTCTGCTAGTTGCTTCGCACCAGTCCAGCCCTCGATCATCCTACTGCTCCACACCAGAAGCGAGGTCTGCAGCAGACACCCCCAGAATATATACACATGAACCAGAAGCGATTGCTGATGATGTCTATCCGAGAGCCAGCTATTGTCGGACATCAGAAACGCTCTGAAATCTCATGGAAAGCCTTTCTGGAAGAACGGAAGCTGTTATGGCCACAAAGTGGAGGGAGGGGGAGGGGTTAGTAGCAATATGCCTCTGATTTGGAATGGGAAGTCTAGAAAGCTCCTCTAGGTACTATGGTCAGGAATCCACAAACCTTCACTATACAGTGAATGAGCTAGAACTGTATAGAACGTTACTTCGGAGAGCGTAACCTGTTACCTAGCGGACAGGGAGACCGAATACAGACAGAACAGCCTGTTATATCCTATATACAGGGATGTGTTGCAGCCGGAACGTGGGGGAATGGAGTTCCAGCACCTCCAGTACTGAAAGCAAGTAATAACAAGGAAACACTGGGGTGTGCTGGAGGGCCTATTGTTGCTGTCTGCTGGGGATCTCTTGTCACCGGTGGGGATTTACTTTATCGGGCGTCTATTGTTGCTGGAGAATCTAATGTTGCGGGGGGGGGGGGTGGGGGTTATGTTGATGCTGCTGGGGAAGGGTCAATTGTTGCTGAGATTGATCTACTGTTGAGGGAGAGGTCTATTCATGGCTGCTGGTAAATCTGTTGTTGCTGTTGGGGGTCTATTGTTGCTGTTGGGGGTCTATTGCTGCTAGGAGGGGGTCTATTGCTGCTAGGAGGGGGCCTATTGCTGCTAGGAGGGGTCTATTGCTGCTAGGAGGGGTCTATTGCTGCTGGGGGGGTCTATTACTGCTGGGGGGGGTCTATTGCTGCTGGGGGGGGGGGGGGTCTATTACTGCTGGGGGGGGGTCTATTACTGCTGGGGGGGGGGGTCTATTGCTGCCTCTGAAATGCTTCGGGTGCAGTTAACGAGCGTTGTCATAGACTTCTACCATTTTGCCTCTGCGCTCATCTTGGAAAGGACCTAGCAGCTGATTGGCCAAACATTCCATACCTGACTTAGTTTACTCTCTGACCAATCAAAATGGACTTTCTGACTTTAAGATGAGGCTAACCCTAACCTGCTACATTCCTGACACCATCATTAGGATGGGGATTGATGGTGCGTGGATCAGAGGAGGTGGTTACCGTATCTGGCTGGAGGCCAGCGGGAGGACGTTGTGGGTTTCCTGGATGCCCAGCGTGGAGCCTCTGCTGATAAACTGGTGACTCTCTCTGCTCCTGTAAGAAGTCCAAACAGGACCTGCAGGCAGAAGAAAAGTGATTGATTAATGTGAAGTTTGGAATCTGTGTTCAGGCTACTCTGTAAAAATGTAAAACTCCGAGAGCAGGTCAGATATGACCAAGAGGTATCCCTAAAAACAAAGGCCGTGGCCTTCTTATTGTGTGCGTTTACCTTGATAAGTTATAACGTCATAAGCCTTCAATTTACGGTACCAGGCAGGGACCATGTACTGCACTGTGCAATCTACAACTGAAGACCCGTGTGCGCACTGTGCAATCTACACCTCCAACTGGACACCCGTGTACCGCACTGTGCAATCTACACCTCCAACTGGACACCCGTGTACCGCACTGTGCAATCTACACCTCCAACTGGACACCCGTGTACCGCACTGAGCAATCTACACCTCCAACTGGACACCCGTGTGCCGCACTGTGCAATCTAGACCTACAACTGGAGACCCGTGTACCGCACTGAGCAATCTACACCTCCAACTGGAGACCCGTGTACCGCACTGTGCAATCTACACCTCCAACTGGAGACCCGTGTACCACACTGTGCAATCTACACCTCCAACTGGAGACCCGTGTACCACACTGTGCAATCTAGACTTACAACTGGACACCCGTGTGCCGCACTGTGCAATCTAGACCTACAACTGGAGACCCGTGTACCGCACTGAGCAATCTACACCTCCAACTGGAGACCCGTGTACCGCACTGTGCAATCTACACCTCCAACTGGACACCCGTGTGCCGCACTGTGCAATCTACACCTCCAACTGGACACCCGTGTACCGCACTGTGCAATCTACACCTCCAACTGGACACCCGTGTGCCGCACTGTGCAATCTAGACCTACAACTGGAGACCCGTGTACCGCACTGAGCAATCTACACCTCCAACTGGAGACCCGTGTACCGCACTGTGCAATCTACACCTCCAACTGGAGACCCGTGTGTACCGCACTGTGCAATCTACACCTCCAACTGGAGACCCGTGTACCACACTGTGCAATCTACACCTCCAACTGGAGACCCGTGTACCGCACTGTGCAATCTACACCTCCAACTGGAGACCCGTGTACCGCACTGTGCAATCTACACCTCCAACTGGAGACCCGTGTACCGCACTGTGCAATCTAGACCTACAACTGGACACCCGTGTGCCGCACTGTGCAATCTAGACCTACAACTGGAGACCCGTGTACCGCACTGAGCAATCTACACCTCCAACTGGAGACCCGTGTACCGCACTGTGCAATCTACACCTCCAACTGGACACCCGTGTGCCGCACTGTGCAATCTAGACCTACAACTGGAGACCCGTGTACCGCACTGTGCAATCTAGACCTCCAACTGGACACCCGTGTGCCGCACTGTGCAATCTAGACCTACAACTGGAGACCCGTGTACCGCACTGTGCAATCTACACCTCCAACTGGAGACCCGTGTACCACACTGTGCAATCTACACCTCCAACTGGAGACCCGTGTACCGCACTGTGCAATCTACACCTCCAACTGGACACCCGTGTGCCGCACTGTGCAATCTAGACCTACAACTGGAGACCCGTGTACCGCACTGAGCAATCTACACCTCCAACTGGAGATCCGTGTACCGCACTGTGCAATCTACACCTCCAACTGGAGACCCGTGTACCACACTGTGCAATCTACACCTCCAACTGGAGACCCGTGTACCACACTGTGCAATCTACAGGTCAGCCTGGGGGACCACGGACTTGCTTCTCTCTCTGCTCCCTTCGTCACCCCTTCTCCTCTGACAAGTATCATCACAATGACAAGCTCATCTCTATGCTCACCCCTCCTGTAAGTGTGGCCACAGTGACAGACTGACAACATTGTGTAAAGTCACATGGTCCCACCTGGCTGCCAACGCTGGCCTTGCCTCCCCAAGTGTTAATCTATCACCCCCCTGCGGGGTTCTGCAATACACCTACAGAGGTCCTCTGTGCCAGGCGGCTGAGGTTGGCGTTCAGGTGCGGCGTGAACACGTCCAGATCGAAGGGGTCAATGCAGCTTTCCAACTGGTCTGCGATTCGCTGGATTCTGAAACACAAAATACACAAACAGTTAGCAGAGGGGGGAGGCGGGCGGCCATCAGTAGGGGGGGGGGGGGGGGTGGCCGTGAGGGGGGGGGGAGGAGGGGGGGGGGGAGGCGGCCGTCAGGGGGGGGGGGGGGGGCGGCCGTCAGGATGGGGGGGAGACGGAACGTCAGGAGGGGGGGAGGACGGAACGTCAGGGGGGGGGGGAGACGGAACGTCAGGAGGGGGGGAGACGGACATCAGGAAGGGTGACCCCTCCCCCCCGTACTCGGTGTACCTGGAGTCCGGCTTGTTCTTACTGGCCAACCCGTCTTCAGAGCGAGGGCCGAGGACGAGGCAGATGTACCGCAGGTCAAAGAGGAGCTGCAGGGCCCGGGCCTGTGTGAGTGCGGAGCCGTGCTTCTGCTGCAGAAAATCGGACAATCGTACCGCAATCGTCACTGAGAGGGAACACGTCATTTAACAACTTCCGGACACTTTCCCCCCCTTCCAGTCCAGACACTTTCACCCCCTTCCAGTCCGGACACTTTCCCCCCCTTCCAGTCCGGACACTTTCCCCCCCTTCCAGTCCGGACACTTTCCCCCCTTCCAGTCCGGACACTTTCCCCCCCTTCCAGTCCGGACACTTTCCCCCCCCTTCCAGTCCGGACACTTTCCCCCCTTCCAGTCCGGACACTTTCCCCCCCTTCCAGTCCGGACACTTTCCCCCCCTTCCAGTCCGAACACACTTTCCCCCCTTCCCCCCCAGGCCAATTTTCAGCTTTCAGCGCTATCACACTTTATATGACAATTGCGCGGTCATGCAACACTGTACCCGTATGAACTTTTTAGCATTTGTTTGAGACAGATAAAGCTTTATTTTGGTGGTATTTATTCACCGCTGGGAATTTTTTTTTTGGTATATAAATGAAAAAGTTCAAAACTTTTGAAAAAAAAAAAAAGTGTTTTTCTTATAAAATTTTGCAAATAAATAATATTTCATCATAAATCTCGGCCAATATGTATTCCGTTATCTTTTTAGTAAAAAAAAAAACCCAAATTAGTTTATAACCAAAGATTATATTTTTAAACATTTTTTTTTTACATTTTTATTTTTTATATTATTATTTATGTTTTTTTTTTTTTTTTTTTTTACATACTGTCACCCTAGCAGTAGTATGACCATGGTGACACTGTACTACTTGTGGGGGGGTGATGAAGATTTTTTTTTTTTTACACCGATTGCTTTTACACCCATAAAGGCTTTAAGAGGAATCATTTCTCCTTCTCTCGGACTGCATTCTTGCAGCCATTGAGAACTACTGTGAGAGCTGTGGTTGGTTGTTGTGCATAGCCCTGTACCATGTGATCTCTGTGATCATTCACAGATTTCACACGTAGTAAGCAATGATGTCAGAAGTGACATCTTGCTTACTACTCTGCATGTGATCACTGCTTGGCCAATCAGTGATCACATGATCAGGACCTCGCACAGAGGTCCCATACAACGAACCATGTCCAGAGGACACAGCGGGCACCGGATCGCGGTCCTGCATGCTCCCAGGAAGCGCACACAAACGGGGCGGGGAGGCTGTTTATATACATGGGCTGCATGGAAAGTGGTTAATAGACATTGGTCTGGGCAATCGTCGGCTCTACAAATCTGCACGTGGTACCTTTCCGGTGCTTTCCCGGCAAAGCGTCTCGTAGGTGCTGATCACTTCCTCCAGGCAGGTCCTCAGCAGCTCCTGCAGGGTGACTTTGGGTATGGTGTGGCCTCCTACGCGGTTCACGGCCTGGCACAGGCTGAAGAGGAGTGACTGGACATACCAGGAACACTGTCGGCAAGAAGAGACGTGCCAAAGCTGAATGAACATATTCAGACCCTCTGCTTTGTACGTCATCACGTACCTTGTGTGGCTCTCAAGCTTCTATGGTGAACGGTGGAAAGTGTTAATGATTGGAAAACCTTTAGAAATTCACATCAGTGGTTCTCATCCTCCATACCATGGCCCACCGCTGGGCCGCAGCTTCCCTCCTACTGGGCCTCCAGCTATCTGCAGATCCCCTAACCTCCCACAGTGTCTCCCCAGTTCCCATAGTGCCACCCAACGTCCCACTGTGGCCTCCAACCTCTCAGAGTGTCCCTAGGCCTCCAAAGAGTCCTCAATTCCCACCAGCCTGCCTGCAGTGCCCCCTAGATGGCTGCAAACCCTCCAGTCCCCCATGAGCATTTCACAGGACCCATCAACCCACTGCCCCTAAGAGCCCTCAATCCCCACCAACCTCCCCTCCAGTCTATTATAGTGCCACCACAAATTTTCACCCACCAACCCCTATCAGTGCCCTCCAGTCTCCCATATTGCACCTACAAAACCCCCAGCTTCCTAGAGATACCCAGAGCCCCCTAAGAGCCCTGAACCCCAACAGTGCCCACTATCCTTTCACCAGTCCCTCATAGTGCCCCCACACAGTGTCTCACATACCCACCAACCCCTGCAGTGCCCTCCAGTCTCCCATATTGCACCTACAAAACCCCCAGCCTCCTAGAGATACCCAGAGCCCCCTAAGAGCCCTGAACCCCAAGAGTGCCCACTAACCTTTCTCCAATCCCTCATAGTGCCCCCACACAGTGTCTCACATACCCACCAACCCCTGCAGTACCTTCCAATCTCCATATTGCCACTACAAAACTCCCAGCCTCCTAGAGACACCCACAGCCCCCTAAGAGCCCTCAATCCCCACCAACCTCCCTCCAGCTCCTCATAGTGCCACCACAATGTTTCACCCACCAATCCCTGCAGTGACCTACAGTCTCCTATTTTATCCTTTCAAACTTCACCCCTCCCCACCCACCCCAGCCCCCCGGCCCTAATAGTTGCCCCCAACTCCCTCCAGAATCCTCATTCCTTACAGGGCCAAGTTTTTGAAAGAATATACCAGAACCCCGGGCCCAATCAGGTTCAGAACCACTGATGTGCAGTATGTCAGGAGAGGCATTCCATAAAGAAGGCCTAATGTCATATTTTCTAAATATTTAACACAGACTATTAAAATACATTATAAAGAACTCCAGCCTCATCTGTACCCGTCTGCTTGAGGGGCAAAGCTGTACTCTGATTTAATATATGCATTGAAGTCACTAGGGGACGTGATTTTGCACGAACGTCAACAGGGACGCGACTTTGCATTGAAGTCAATGGGGACGCGACTTTGCATTGAAGTCAATGGGGACGTGACTTTGAACAGGACTCGCTCACCTGCCCCGGCAGAAGGATTTTTGATGTCACGCTGCTCCCTGCCTCCGTCTCCTCTTGAATTTCTATCTCATCCCAATGGGTGGCGGTAGCGAGAGCTGAACCAGGGGCATGGAGCAGAATGGTCTGCGAGAAGGAACGGGTTACCTGCTGCAGGAGAAACAACAGGTATTTAGGAGCGATAAAAAAAAACAAAACATAATGCTAACTCATTTACGAGGAAAATAGCGCAGGTCAGAAAGGGGGGGGGGGGGGGTGTCGTGGGTGCAGGTGGGAGGGTCGAAGGTGCAGGTGAGAGGGTGCAGATGGGAGGGAGGGTCGAGGGTGCAGATGGGAGGGAGGGGGGGAGGGTCGAGGGTACGGGTGGGAGGGAGGGAGGGTCGAGGGTACGGGTGGGAGGGAGGGAGGGTCGAGGGTACGGGTGGGAGGGAGGGAGGGAGGGTCGAGGGTACGGGTGGGAGGGAGGGAGGGAGGGTCGAGGGTACGGGTGGGAGGGGGAGGGAGGGTCGGTCGAGGGTACGGGTGGGAGGGAGGGAGGGTCGGTCGAGGGTACGGGTGGGAGGGAGGGTCGAGGGTACGGGTGGGGGGAGGGAGGGTCGAGGGTACGGGTGGGAGGGAGGGTCGAGGGTATGGGTGGGAGGGAGGGAGGGAGGGTCGAGGGTACGGGTGGGAGGGAGGGAGGGAGGGTCGAGGGTACGGGTGGGAGGGAGGGAGGGTCGAGGGTACGGGTGGGAGGGAGGGAGGGAGGGTCGAGGGTACGGGTGGGAGGGAGGGTCGAGGGTACGGGTGGGAGGGGAGGGAGGGTCGAGGGTACGGGTGGGAGGGAGGGTCGAGGGTATGGGTGGGAGGGTCGAGGGTATGGGTGGGAGGGAGGGAGGGTCGAGGGTACGGGTGGGAGGGAGGGAGGGTCGAGGGTACGGGTGGGAGGGAGGGTCGAGGGTACGGGTGGGAGGGAGGGAGCGTCGAGGGTACGGGTGGGAGGGAGGGAGGGAGGGAGGGAGCGTCGAGGGTACGGGTGGGAGGGAGGGAGGGAGGTCCGAGCGTCGAGGGTACGGGTGGAGGGAGGGAGCGTCGAGGGTACGGGTGGGAGGGAGGGAGGGAGCGTCGAGGGTACAGGTGGGAGGGAGACAGGGAGGGTCGAGGGTACGGGTGGGAGGGTCGAGGGTACGGGTGGGAGGGGGAGGGTCGAGGGTACGGGTGGGAGGGAGGGTCGAGGGTACGGATGGGAGGGAGGGTCGAGGGTACGGGTGGGAGGGAGGGTCGAGGGTACAGGTGGGAGGGAGGGAGCGTCGAGGGTACAGGTGGGAGGGAGGGAGGGTCGAGGGTACGGGTGGGAGGGTCGAGGGTACGGGTGGGGAGGGTCGAGGGTACGGGTGGGAGGGTCGAGGGTACGGGTGGGAGGGAGGGAGGGTCGAGGGTACGGGTGGGGGGGAGGGAGGGTCGAGGGTACGAGGGAGGGAGGGTCGAGGGTACGAGGGAGGGAGGGTCGAGGGTACGGGTGGGAGGGAGGGAGGGTCGAGGGTACGGGTGGGAGGGAGCGTCGAGGGTACGGGTGGGAGGGAGGGAGCGTCGAGGGTACGGGTGGGAGGGAGGGAGGGAGGGAGCGTCGAGGGTACGGGTGGGAGGGAGGGAGGGTCGAGGGTACGGGTGGGAGGGTCGAGGGTACGGGTGGGAGGGAGGGTCGAGGGTACGGGTGGGAGGGAGGGAGCGTCGAGGGTACGGGTGGGAGGGAGGGAGGGAGCGTCGAGGGTACGGGTTGGGAGGGGGGAGGGAGGGAGGGTCGAGGGGTACGGGTGGGAGGGAGGGTCGAGGGTACGGGTGGGAGGGAGGGTCGAGGGTACGGGTGGGAGGGAGGGTCGAGGGGTACGGGTGGGAGGGAGGGTCGAGGGTACGGGTGGGTGGGGAGGGTCGAGGGTACGGGTGGGTGGGAGGGTCGAGGGTACGGGTGGGTGGGAGGGTCGAGGGTACGGGTGGGAGGGAGGATCGAGGGTACGGGTGGGAGGGTGGGGAGGGTCGAGGGTACGGGTGGGAGGGAGGGAGGGTCGAGGGTACAGGTGGGAGGGAGGGAGCGTCGAGGGTACAGGTGGGAGGGAGGGTCGAGGGTACGGGTGGGAGGGTCGAGGGTACGGGTGGGAGGGAGGGAGGGTCGAGGGTACGGGTGGGAGGGAGGGAGGGTCGAGGGGGTACGGGTGGGAGGGTCGAGGGTTCGGGTGGGAGGGAGGGAGGGTCGAGGGTACGGGTGGGAGGGAGGGAGGGGTCGAGGGTACGGGTGGGAGGGAGGGGGGAGGGTCGAGGGTACGGGTGGGAGGGAGGGTCGAGGGTACGGGTGGGAGGGAGGGTCGAGGGTACGGGTGGGAGGGTCGAGGGTACGGGTGGGAGGGAGGGAGGGTCGAGGGTACGGGTGGGAGGGTCGAGGGTTCGGGTGGGAGGGAGGGAGGGTCGAGGGTACGGGTGGGAGGGAGGGAGGGTCGAGGGTACGGGTGGGAGGGAGGGAGGGTCGAGGGTACGGGTGGGAGGG